TATATATATATATATATATATCACTTTAGATAGTATACCAGTGTTTGGGCTCAATTGCAGATAATCAGGGAAGGACATGAGTCCCTCCCACTGGTTGATTATCAAATTTCCAAATGCAGTTTATAGAGGAGTTTTAGCAATTAACATCCTGAATTGTTTCCTTTCACTGAGGTGTTATTTCTATGGCTGCTTTTCTGATGGTCATATCCTTCGCTTCGTAACTGCCTTCCTGACCACAACACAATGAAGCTATTTTCCTTAGGCCTATTCATTTAAGTAGGTCTATCTAGTTTTTGTTTTCATTATTAATTTTACTCATTGTTTTCAACTTTTTACTGGGTTTTTTTTTTCTCTACGTGTCTTTCATTTGTATTTTTTCTTTGTATTGTTTACATTCGTCCAGTAAGGTAAATATTTCTCTAGTTATACAATATAAATAAGTAGATAAATAATAATACTAGTACTTTTTTAATTTTTTGATTGGCAGAACGTAGGTACTGTACAAGAAAAATAATTAAATTTCGAACTGTTTAAACGGTTACTCTGCTATTTGAACAATTGTCTGACTGGTTGACTGACGTAGATTGATTGATTATTTGGTTTATTGGTCGATCGATCAATCTGATTGATTGATTATTTAATTGATTAATTGGTTGATTGATTGATCAGTTTGATCGATTGAATTTTGATTGATAGATTTGATTTTGCAGTGGCAGAGTTAGCAAGGGTTACTGGTTGAATACCGGTTCGAGAACCCTGGATCTTCCGACTGGGAAATCCTGTTCAGTAGCATATCTATTCTCCCATTCGTCGGAAAACACTGCTTTGAAAAGGCATATTGCCGTTTCCGGGTATCTAGAGGTGCATATTCATAAAATTTGCTCTAACCATGATGGGCCCGGGCTGAGGTGAGTGAGTCCCCTGTCTGGGACATTGGGCTTTTCGTCCCAGACATTGACTCGACGCCGGGAATATTGGAACCCTTGTTGTCAAAACACCACCACCACTGGAACCATGTTTTATAGATTGACTTATCGATAGAGTGCATATTATAAATCGAGTATAGATATTTGCATTAAAAAAATAAGTATTAGGTATGTATTATAAATATTTATTAATGTAATTCTATAAATGCAGCATAGTATCACCTTTTCAAAAACATATTATAAAATACATTATAGTTTAGGCCTACACAGATAAATAGCCAGGTTTATGGTTAACCAGTAAATAAATGGCCTTATGCACTCATATTTCCTACTTAATGTCAACATATGTCATGAGCTTATTCCAATGGACGTCTATTTTAGTGAAGAAATCAAGCATTACCAACATGTTTTTTCTTTCAGTTGGTACAATTGTACAATCGATTAGTTGCATATACAGTCATTCAGCCAATAAGTCACAATCAAAGTGTCACCGATAGGGAAATATAGGCCTATCGTTTGCCTTTGGGTACAAAGAAGGAAAAATTATTACCTAACCATAAATATAACCTACCCATTTTTGCTAGACTGGCGACCATAATCCACAAGCAAACTACATATAAAACTTTTACTCGTTCCCATTCGAAAGAAATGATATGCACTTTCGTTTGTTCATGTTCTCCTTCATCATTCTCCTCATGGCTCGAGTCATTCGCTAATCCTGCTTCTTCGGTTGTTTCTTCAACGTGCTCTTGCCGTAACTGGCGATGTAAAATCTTCGATTTGCTACGATCGTGTCGAAATGCATGATTTAGGTCTACAGAATATATCAGAGTCAGTAAAATAACACAGGCAAATATGAAACATCGTCTGTCTGATAACAGTGACATATCGAACGTGATCCAGTGTGGCCACTAAGTGTGTTGTGAAGTATTCTTCAGGTATTAGCGTTTTGTTGTCTTTTACTTCCTTGTACAAATTCCGTGGGCCAATTTATCCGGAAACATTAGACTCGTTCATTATTTACGGGATACCGCGCGAAAAGAAAAACTGTTTAAATTTGTGAACATGTTTTTTGAATAGATTGGTATACTACATCACATTAAACATACATACGGTTTTCCGTATAAACAATACTATTTTACTTTAAACTCATTGTACAAAATAATGTAGGATTCCACATACTATTACATAATGTTTTGACGGTTGTGATTTGACAGTTGGCAGAACAAAAAATTTTTTTTTTATAAGATATAAATACTAATTACCTAATACCTGATTCTCTCTAATACCACGTATCGGATAAGTGATTGGACGTGTGTGTGAAAGTGGCATTTTCAGACCTGTCAAATGGTCAATGGTTGTGCATTTGTATGTATAGCGCATAATATTATGTATAGCACAACTTCATTTTGTTCAGACACAGCGACTTACGCTAGCGTAACGTTAATCGAGTGGTGTGAACTTGTACCAGATTAGCGTACGCCACAGATTAGTTACGGCAGTCATGCGTCAACGAATTTGAACTCGGCCGAGATTTGACCAATAACAGTAAGCCTAGATGTAAACTGGAATTATAACGCGGGATTACGAATACACTTATTTCACGAGAATACTTACGCTAGCATTTTGTTAATTGCCCAGTCTGGACATCTCGCTAGTTACGCCACAGATTAACGTACGCCCGGAGTTAGATACGCCTGGCGTATCTCTCATGTCTGAACGTAGCCTATATATTCTCGTCTTCCGTCGGACCTTAAGCCATACAGTAGTATGGATAATTGGCATATCCAGGATTTCTGCCGAGAGGGACGGGGTCTATACCGTACTCTCTCTGAGGTGAAAGTGAGGTGGAGGAGCTCCTTTACATTTGTTAAAGCCCAGGGGCTATTTTCCCTTGAAATTCCGGAGTTTTTAAGAATTTTAATCTATTATCATTTCACACTAGTCATGTGACTGTTGTGGGGGAAAGTGGGTTCCAACTCCTCCACCACCCACTGTTCTGGTAGGCGCTGCTAATCCAAATTTTCTGACTTGATATTCAACATAGGGTATAGGATATTAACATTTACATATAGGCCTATCCCCATCACTTAACAGTAGGCCAATGGTAGTAATTTCTAAACCACGTTGTTGCTACTTCACATGTGATCATTCGTCTTTTGTTTCTATTTCAATTGCGATCACATCCGATTGAAATCGCTTTCAGTAATAACAGGCACTATTGAATGATTGCATCTGAGTTATGCCTCATCGGTGACGCTTCAGCACAGTTTGATTTCTGTACTATAGACATACGGTACCGTACCTGCTATGCCAGCGCGCGAAAAACTGAAGAGGATTAAAGATTAAAAAAAATAAATAAATAAATAAAAACATAAGAAGCCAAACAAAATTCTAGCCACTAATTTTTTTGTTCCCCACGACTGACCCAAGATTTTAAGTCGTGCACTAAAGGCCAACTTAGACAGCGTCGGCCGACGCAGCCCGACCCAATTTATCGTCGGGGACAGTCTTAAGCCGTCGTGAGAAATATTAAACATGTTTAACATTCTACGACGCGACTGCCCCCGACGCACACCATCGCGTCTGCGTTTAACTCACACAGACCCGACGCGACAACAAATCGCGTCGGGCTGCGTCGGCCCACGCTGACTGACTTGGCCTTTACTGCGCCGCCCGACGGTCGTTTGCTGACGAGATTTCATATAGAGAACGCAAAACGCCACGACGCGCGCAACGGATCGTTTTTAATGGCGATCCGTTCAGACTGCCACCGACATTCAGCAGGCGAGGTCGCGTCGTCTAGTGCCCCAAAGGGAACGGAGTTAGATTCATTGTGCGATGGTCGTACACCCATCGACGACGTAGTGTCCAGCTTTAGATAAAAATTTTTTTTTTTCATTAGAAGAGCAAGAAATATAACGTTTTAAAAGGGAAAGTGATTCAAAAGAGATTAAAGAGATTCTTAATCAGTTACTATTTGTGTTACAGTAATAAAAACATTCGATAGCTTCATCTTAAATTTGTATTACCCTGAATTTGTTTGGCTATTGCAATTGTATATAGGCCTAACAGCTTGGTGGCTTGGAGTAAATATATATTAAATGGAATTGTTATTATTATTATTCTTATTATTATTATTATTATTGTTATTATTATTATTATTATTATTATAGTTGTTGTTGTTATTGTTATTGTTATTGTTATTGTTATAGTTATTATTATTATTATTATTATTATTATTATTATTATTTATTATTATTATTGTTATTGTTTTTGTTGTAATAGTAGGGGGATACAATTATAATAATCATAATGGCGATAGGTCTAATATTAAACATGGTATAGTAATAACATTGATAATTAATACTTCATAAACATAGAATAATAATAATGACGATGATGATGATATGATGGCGATAATGATGATGATGATGATGAGAAGAGATGATGCTGAGATTATGAAAATGAGATGCTGATGAGATAGTGATGAGATGATGAAGATGCGATACTTGATGAGGTATATGATGATGAGATAATTGATGATGAGAAGATGATAAGATGATGAGATGATAATATGATATGGTGGAAACGATGATGATATGATGGTGATATGATATGATGCCGATTATGATGAGATGATGATGAAATGATAATGAGATGATGATGATGATGATGATGATGCGATGATGATGATTATGAGATGATGATGATGAGATAATGATGAGATAATCATGTAGAGATGATAATGAGGATGATGATGATGATGATTATTATTATATAAATATCTTTATTATATTATTGTCTTTATATTACCGTATCTTAAGGTAAATTATATTGTTACAATGGTATATAAAGTAATAATAGACCTAATTAGACTGGTGATTAACAATAACACCTCAACGTTACAGTACTATAGCGGATAATCATCTGTATTTTGGCTTAACCTTCAAAACTGCTACTCATATATTTTTATACATTTGTGTCCGTCCTGTAACGTCCCTCTTTGTCTCCCTTGCATGTCCTGTTATATGGACGAGCCTAGAGCTTCTATGTTCCTTTATCAATTCGTTTTTCTTGATGTGATCTTTTTCTTCGTTTTTGATTCTGTATGTTTTCTTTGTTGAATTTGAAGAAAAGTGTTGAATTAAAAAAATATATTTACATTATACTCATTATCAATAATCGAAATGGATTCACAGGTTATGCGAAAGGAAAGGAGGATAATTCTCGTCAATTGTAACTTGATTATAGGGGACATGTATGGATTTTAACAAGCTTATTCTATAAACCTATTATGTTGTTTAAAATATCGGCTATGTTGGGCCATTGTCATTATATAGTTCTCGATGAAATAATCACTTCCTTTCGATCCCTTGATCTAATGCTTATGGTGTCATGGTTAATGACGTCAAGGTCTATTGATACAAAGTGTCTGGGACTGGGTTCAATACAATTCAATTCAATCGATAACACGGTCTGCGATTCATATTTAATGTTCTTACGTATTGATTGTCATGAAGATTATGCGTACGTCGCCATTGTAATCGTGTTTTTCCTTCTTGTAGGCCTATACTGAAGAGGCCGTCATTCATTGGTTTCTTCCGAAAGTTATTTCAGTTTGATTACTTTTTAATATCGAGTGACTCAGTTCTAAAAAGAGTTAGACTTATTCTATTTTGAACCATACATAAACCAAATAATAGGTTCTATGGTATTGAAGGCTACCGGTATGTCAAAAATTTGACAAAATTTAACCATGACAGTATAACATTAGATTATATAATTGTTTGTGCGAAACTTTACATATTTTGCCCTAATTTGAATTTAGGGATCTGCTTTATAAATATTGTTTTGTTTCAAGTATTTTTGTTCAAGAGGGATTACAGACACAAGCCGACTGAGGTTTCTGTGTAGTCCTTTAGACAAATTGATATAATGTTATCTAGGACTATGTTTGAATAGACTATATTTTTTGTTTAAATTCATTTTCGGATTAGCCATTCTATTCTCTTATGTAAAATATTTAATGCATATTGGGGAAAGTTTGCTGCTGTCAGGGGTGGGGCGAGGGACAGTCCATTTTTACCACCACTTAATTTACTTCCTCACTAACGCCGTATATTTTATAGTGTTTAATTATAAAATATTTAATTATAAGATGGAGTATTATCAAAAGGAAATTGAACAATACAATAGATAACAGTTGCTGATCCCGGAATTCGAGATAGAGGGTGTCCAGGGAGTAAATTTCCAGATGGAGGTGTATACCGTCTCAGCCCCACCATTCGGGAATAGAGGTAAGAAAATTTATGATTATAAGCACGCATGGATTGGCAATCTCAGGCTTAAATAAGTATAATTTTCTTTCTTTTTTTTTTTTTTTTAACAAAGGGGAGAAGTGGCCTTACATTATATGTTTCTCTCTCCACACTCACGTGTATGCCCGGTAGGATGCATGTTGTGGATTTGTCAATTTATGGATCAAATGGCCAGCAGGAATATAAATAACATCGCAAGCGCATTTTTATTCTTTCGCACATTCCGCGGTATATAAACTCCTACAGGCCTACTTATCATTGTCATTGTCATCTTTAACTTTACCCCGATCATCATCATCATTATCGTTACCAAAATCATCCCCATCATTTTAGGTCATTATTATGTACAAAAAAAAAACGAATTAGGCCCACACATATGAGACAAATACCCCAAATATGTTATTATGTAGTGGAGAAGTAGCTTGGTGGTTAAGATGCCTGTTTCAATGCCGAGGTCCTGGGTTCAAATCGTGTGATTAAACATATTCTCACGAGTAAAAAATCAAAATCTCCACTACCTAAGCCACGTATTTTATGAAGCAACGTAGTTTTTATTTCAATTTCGTTTAGGCTATTAAAGAGAGACACTAGATATCAGCTAGTTCTAGAAAGATCACTTTCTATACAAACCACA